AGATCAGTCATTATCAGATACCAAAAAGATATATATATATATATATATATATATATATATATTTCAAATATAGTGGAGATCAGTCTTTTGAATGGTTAAAAAATAAAAGGTAGATGAAATATTTCAAATCCCCAGAACATCATAGAATCAGCAAACAGCTTCATCTATTTGGTGCCAGAAAGCTTAATCAATTAAATAAAGTAGCCAAGAAAACTAAATCTCAGATACTACTGCAGTAGGTTAATTGGGGGCACTCCAATACCCCCATTGGTATTTAAAATGGAAAATCCACAAACTAGCATTTCCTTATTTAAATTTCAGGCCATATCAACACAAAGAAAATTTATTAAGCACCATGCACCCGCCAAACTTGGCCCAAAAACAGATCATTGAACCCATCCCAACACTTCCTAGATCAACAACTGTTCATTATGGAACTAAAGTTGATCACTTTTTCTACATTCTAAATGCCCCAAAATAGAAACTTCCAACAACACAAACTACTGATTAAAAAAAAAATAGTACAAAAAAGCTTAAACTATATGAAAGATGAACATGAAGCTCACTAACTAAGCTATACCTTAAGTGGAAGCTGGAGTACTTGAAAGAATGTATGCGAAAACTAGTTCAATAAGAAGATGGCTTATAAAATAAAAGGCTTCACAAAGGAAGATCGGTTAATGCACTTGGAACTTGCAAGAACACAATCTTATATAACTTTATTTTTTATGTCTAGTAGCACGTTTGATTAATACAAATAAAGTGGTTGCGTTAACGCGTAACACCTGTGAATCTTTATTACGAGAGAGGGAAAGAAAAGAACATACTTAAAACGATAAAGACGTAAAGGATAAAGGTGAGAGAAAAGAAAAAAAGAATAAAATAATTTATAATTTTTATTAACTTTTAACCAAAAAAATATATTTTTATTTAGTTTCATAAGAAAATGCACATATATAAAGTAATTGTTTTTTTTTTACCGAATATATAGATAATTCATTACTATTTTTTTCATAATTATCTTAATTAATTAACAAAAAAATTACATAAAAATAATAAATATTGAAAATTGATAAAATAAAATTTTCTCTTATTTTATTATCAGATATAGATGAAACGAGTATACACAAATTTTAAAATTATTATCCGGTTCCTTTTTAATAATGATTTAAAACATTATAAAATATTTTATTAATAACATCGATTAATTATTTTCTAATTATAACATTTTTCTAAATAATTACTATAGTAATATATTATTACTATCTCTTATCCTAATTATAAACATCAAATAAATTTTTCTTTGACCCGATTATAAACACAAATCATTAATTTTTTTAAATTATTCAAAGATAATATTTTTAATTAATTGCTAATTCTATTCTTTATATATTTATTTAGAATTAATATTAAACATAATATAAAGAGTATCTTTAAAATAAAATTTAAACTTATAAAAAAATTAATTAAAACAATCAATTTAATTATATTTTTGTCTCCATAATTTATCTTATATTATTTATGATTAAGATGGTACTTATTAAATTATATATTAGGTATATCTAATCACTTGTATATATAACCGTTGTGCTTGTTTAGAAATGGGTGAATCTCTTATTTCAAGAACGTTGGTTGAGGAATGGTACAACTGGCACGCATGTGTCGGTGATTATTTTTTAATGGCCCCAACGCAACATAAATTTGCCTCTGTTGACACTATTGACTTTTTCTCTGTCTTGAATATTTGACGGTGCAGTTTTGTCCCATAATTTTCTCTTTCTCTTATCCTTCATCACTCTACACTCATCACGTTGCACATTGACGTTACGTTACACATGCATGCACACACTCACCGCTTCCTTCAAAGCTGTCATCCAATAAATAAATCAAATTGTCGTGTAACATCTTTTCGGTTCCAAACTTTCCTGTTCCGGAACACCCCCACATGCTAAGGAAAGTGTTTCTTCCATTTTCTAAATGGATTAAATCTATATATTTTTATTTCACAACATTTAGCAAATGAGGGAAAAAGACATGCTAACATAATTTTACTGAGATTGACACTGTATTTAGTAAGACAAGAAGTGTTAGAAAGGGTAAGAAACTTACAATATTTTAGCACATCAGGGAAAAACACATGCATCTATTTATTAAGATAAGAAGTGTCTGAAAGGGTAAGAAAATTGAGTATATAAATAAAAGTTGTTTGAGAAGGCGAAAGTTGATTTTTATTATAGATAATTTTGTTTTAAAATAATATATTATAATATTTAAATAAATAAATAAATAAATCTGTATAAATAATTTTAGTCTTTGTAAAATGAGTAAATTTTAATTTTATTTTTATATAATTTTTTTCATCTCTCAAAATTTAAAATTATTGTTTTTAATTTCCAATAATATGTAATCACTATTAACTACTTATTTGTTTATTAAATGATTAAGTAATCATCTCATGTGCTATCCACAATCATGAGTGATAGACTTTTTGACAAAAAAAAAAAAACTATTTACTAAAATAAATTTTGTTAAAAAATTATTTATCAAAATAAATTATTTTAGACATGGTGGCACAATTGAGAGACTTGTTGCCATCACTTGCAACATCTCCATTGAGAGACAAAATCAACAAAGAAGATGTTGTCAAGTATGATGACTTCCCTTTGGTTGGATGTAGTATATACAAATCGTCAACGACACAGACAACTTCTAACAAGGATGACACCTCTAAGCATCATGACCAAGGACGACACTTGTAGGTGTCATGACCTTCGCCTTATGATAATGCATTTATTTATTTATTATATTTTTAGTGTTTTCTTTATTTTAGGGGAATTATTTAAAACAACAAATAATGTACACAAACAAATGCACACACACATGCACAATCAACGTACACCCATCACCCATGAACAATCATGTTCATTTCCATGGGTGGAGATCTCTATAAGAAAGGTGCATATTAATGGGTGGTTCCAACTGTTCTCATCGGTCTTAAGGCCCCCAAGGTGCCTTTGTTATAGAGATCCAATATCTTTATCGTCGCTGTCGCCACCGGCCCGAAACGGGCTTTCGGC